GGGACAGCTGTGCTCTGGGCCTCCTGGTGTTTCTAAGTCTTGCTATTTATTACAAATTGAGGAACCTGGAAGCTCTGCTCCCTAGGACCCCCCAGTCCTCATAAATTAAAGACTCGCGGGGATCATTAGAAAACAACCTGAGCTCAAGGCAATGCAACAAACGTTTGTCACTTCATTATTGGCCAGGAGATGGGGTGGGGGTGGAAACAAGGATAAATCAAACGTGGTGCCTGCCTTCAACGTGCTCACCATCCAGGCGAGCGAGCGGATAGGGGAAAGAGGAGAAACTACAACCAAATTGCATGGAGGGCAGACGCTGGTGACCTGGTGGCGCTCAGGGCCCGGGCAAGGTGGGAGCCAGCCCGGAGTTACCGAGACACGCAGATCGACCCAGCTCCGAAAGGAGACAGCGCCCCAGGAATCGATCACGGGTTGGGATTATATTTAGTCTCGGGATCTATTTTGGGCTTTTAGAAGAAAGGGGGACAATTAAAAAGGACAGGTTGGAGGAAGGTTGTGGGGGCGGGGCTAGGAGCTGAGCCTGGGTGGAGGAAGTGGAAGCTGGGCGCGGGGCTCCGGGACCTGACGGGAACGGGGGGACAGGGAGCGAGCGGGTGGGCACCGCGCCTGCCCTGCAGTCCCGGCCTGGGGACGAGGCGCTGCACCTCGAAGGCCGTGGCGAGGAGGTCCCGAGGGACCCAAGTCCACGGAAAAGACTGCGGAGGAGGAAAGAGGAGGAACCCAGCGCGCAGGCCTGGAGCAGCGAGGTCTGTAGAAGCAGAAGGCTGCAGAGCTGGCCCCAGGGCTCGGGCCCTGACACTCAGCGACCCCGGGCCGAGCGTGAGCCGGAGACTGGACAGCGAAGCGGGAGGGGACGCGTGCCGAGGAGGAGCCGGGGGAAGGGAAGGGGAAGGAGACGGGAAATGGGGAGAACGGGAAACAAAAGGAAGAGGGGTGGCGTGCAGGGAGGGAATGAGGACGAAGGGGGGGTGCCGCGGCGAGGAGCGGGGGCGACAGAGGGGCGGAGGAGGGGACCGTGAGAGCCGGGGGAGGGCCGCGCGTCGTGCAAGCTGGGAGGCACTCATGGGCGGAAGCTTGCAAGGCTTAGCACTTTTTTCCTAGCTTTCCCAGAGGAGGCCGAGCAATCTGTTGGCGCAGGCCGAGGTGCCAGCGCGACGCAGCGGGAGGGGAAACCAGACAGAGGAGGGGGTGGCCCCAGTCCTCGGACGGCGGCTCCGGGGGTGGGCGAGGTCCCCCGCGTCCCGACCTCGCGCGGCCCAGGCGCCAGGGCGGTGGAGAGGAGGTGGGGAGGGGGCGCCCCGCGAGGGGAGAGGCGCAGCCCGGGGTCCTCCCGGAGCCCCAAGTGAACCTGCCTCTTCTGTTTTGTCCTGTTCCTCGCCAGATACTGGGAGGATTTCCACAGCTGCACGGTCACAGCCCTTACGGATTGCCAGGAAGGGGCGAAAGATCTGTGGGATAAACTGAGAAAAGAATCCAAAAACCTCAACATCCAAGGCAGCTTATTCGAACTCTGCGGCAGCGGCAACGGGGCGGCGGGGTCCCTGCTCCCGGCGCTCGCAGTGCTGCTGGTGGCCCTCTCGGCAGCTCTGGCGACCTGGCTTTCCTTCTGAGCGCGGCGCCGGCTGCCCCCCGCGCCCACCCGCACTCACCCCCGTGCTCCCGGAAACCGAGAGGAAGATCCATTCGTTCTTTGGGGACCTCGTGATTCTCTGTGATGCTGAAAACATTCATATAGGATTGTGGGAAATCCTGACACTCTCTTTCATTTCGTTTGATTTCTTGTGTTTCATTTGCCAAATGTTACCAATCAGTGAGCGAGCGAGCACAGCCAAAATCGGACCTCAGCTTTAGTCGTCTTCACACAAAAATAAGAAAACGGCAAACCCACCCCATGTTTTTTTTTTTTTTTTTAATT